GCCTTGATGACACCTCCCAGGTACAAATGGACACTTCGATTTTGCAGAGTTGCGAAATGCTGCGAATCCGTGCGCTGGGCTACCTGCATCTGCCCACCGAGGCAAACTGATGCCGGAGAGCCCCATAGCCGAGTTGGGACAGGTGCTATGTGAAATAGCCTCTTTAGCCGCTTCTGTCAAGAATCCCCTCCGAAAGAGACTCCTCCAGTCACGCATGATGTCAGCAACAGTCAGATTAAATGCTTGACCCCTCCCGACGACACCCAGGTGCAGATGGACGTTTCGATCTTGCAGAATTGCTGATTGACGGGCTCAGTGACCGCCTGCATCTGCCCGCCCACGGAGCCAAGCTGATTGCGAAGACCCCCGTCTCCGAATCAGGACGTGTGCTGATGCGACAGATGCGCAGGCCTCGTCCGCCTTGTCCACATGCTGCAGCTGCCAGAATGATAAACTGCCATGGGTGGCTTGACTTTCTCTTGACTAGAGAATCCAGTTCATCTCGGCAGCACATGTGCTACAGTGACTGTAGCGGGATCCCAGGTGCGCAGACGGCCGATTTCCCTATTCTATCGTCGCGCGCTTTGGCCCTGGCAACTTTCTAGTCCGAGATGGCTCTCTTCGACTGAAAGCTTGGAAGCTGCAGAGCTCAGAAGTCTCAGACCGCCCTCCTCCAGCTTCCTGACTCGGCTTCGCAAGCCAGCAGCCTGGGCAAGGCCTTTGATTACGTCTCGGAGGCCTCTTGCCAAGGGCTGAGAAGCGTGGGTGCCGGCGTAGTAGGCGTAGGAGCCAAGTCGCATTGTGCCTCCCCTTCAAGGGCACCGCCTCCCGTTCGGCCCCCAGTCTGCATGCAGTGCCGGCCCTGAGATACCCGGAGGTCATCCTGGCACACGTTCACAAGCCGGCACGGGGGGTGTCTGCTTCAAGGAGATAAGCCGCATGAAGAGCCGTGTCCGAAATGTCCCCGTTGCCTGGCCCTTCAACTGCAGGCCACTTGCACGGCTGCGCACGGCTGCCTGTGCTTTGCGGGGAGTCGCCGTTTCTGTGAAGCACCGGACACCTCTGCCCGCGCGACCGCGGAAGCCATGCCTGTTGCCTCGCGTTTGGCGTGACGTCACCAGCCTTGCGTCCAGAAGGGGCAAGGGCGGCCTGCGCCATGGTCCTGCGTTGGGAATCCTGCGTTGATGCGGCGGCTTGGATGCCCGGAGGTTGGCCTGAGGCGGCCGCATGTTCTGATCATAACTCGTTCAGCTTTGCTGTCCGTCAGTCGCTCTCAGCTCTGATGGCAGTCAAGGGGAACTTGCCTCGTCCCCGTCCCCGTATTCCCCGTCCCCGTGCAGTGCAGGGCCAGTGTTTCGCTGGAAGCACCGGCCGAGGGCTCCGAGGGCTCCGAGGGCTCCGAGGGCTCCGAGGGCTCGGAGGGCTCGGAGGCCTTCTGCAGTGCTCATGCAGTGCTTGTGCATGCCTCCCCAGAATCTCAGAAGCCTTGCACCATGGCAACATTTCGCTGGTGGCCGCTCAATGTCAAGGGCACTATAGAAGTGCAATGAAGTGCAGGAGCGGCTGCGTGCCTTTAAGCTCTCCATGCGCGCCGTCTCCTCGGCGAGCCCAAGCCAAGGCCGAGAGGCGCCTTGGCGGCTTTGATCAGCTCCCGTAGGGCTCCCGTGAGGCTCCCGTAAAACTCACCGTAAGACTCACCGTCAGGCTCACCGTCAGCCGCGTGTGACGTCCACCGGCGCGAGACGTTCGCCGTTGAGCCAAAGCCGCATCCGTCGGGCGCGATAGCTTCAAGCTCAGCAGCATCCTGCGGCGCTGCGGTCGGTGCCCGGTGTGATCGATGTGCATGTCGCCCGTGCGGCTGCTTGTCACGTGACAGCTTGCCCAGGAAGCATCGTGAGGATCCGAGCCAGCCGCAGTGACTGTTCCGGCTGCAAGTGATTTGCTCGATTGCGGTGCTTTGTCAACGGTGCTCCAAGCGGTTCTCTTCCAGCCGAGGAAGTGTTCACAGTTTGCAGGCTGCTTGACACGCACTTTGGCTGATGCACAAAGACCGAGGTTCTCACGACCAATGCTGCTCCCATGACCAATGCTGCTCCCCCGCCGCACTTCTCTGCACTCAACGCCGCGACCAGGCTTTTGCATCACAAGAAGCCAACTTTTATGCTATAGTTTCCAAGTACATATCCCTGTGCAAGACTGCCACGAGGATACCTGTGTCTTGGCGTCGTCTCAGCAAGACACATCGAGTCCCTCGCTGCCTGTGGAAGCAGAACATCAAGGTGCGCCGCCATTCTGACGCGAAGTCTTCGTGCAGCTTCACAGGAATGCCCTGCCCCATCGCCAAAGCCACCATTTTGCCAGATGACAGCTCCTGATGCACAGGCAGCTGAAGCAGCAGTCGGTCAAAGCAGAACAGGTGCTAAGTGCAAGGGTCCCAACGTTGTGGGTCCGATCTTGTCATGGTCGTCATATGTCGTCATCTTGACCTCTTGAGCCACTGAGGATCCAAACACGGGTGGAGAGCACACCAATCGCACCATCATTCGCCACACTCGCCACGCTACACGCTTCGGTGCCTGCCGAGGCTAGCGGTGTCGCGGATGTCGCGGAACGAGGTGGAGCTGCCTGGTTTGTTGCCGCATTCCGTCACCTGGGAGACGATGGCCGGATTCTCGAGGCGAAGCGTGAGGTTCTGAGCTGCGTAATGACATGCGACCGCCCACTGTGCCATGTGTACTCTCTGTGCCTTCGGTATGCCTTGCGACTCCGCTGTGCCTTGCCTCTTGAACGAAAGCCTGTCAAGACTTTGGCCTTGTGAGGGCTTTCCCTGCGCTTCCCCCACGTTCTGCCTTATGTGCCCGGGGCTGTCAAGCCTCCTCTATGCCTTTTGGGGTCTTCCTGCCGCATGCCTTCTGCGCCGGTGGAATGGGCACATAGACGACACACCGCTGCTTCCCACTTGATGGCGAGCAAGCTCAGAGTCCTTACATGCCCTACCTTCCCTACATATACGACACACTAACTACACGTTCATGTCCAGGCTGCTCTGCTTGCTCTGCTTGCCCTCTGGCCTGCCGACATGCGCGTCGCTGTGAAGCTGCTCTTTTTGCTCAGCAATGCGAGGTTTCCAAAGCTCGAGGAATCTCCTTACTCCAATCAACGTGCAGAGGGGAAGGCGTCAATGACTGCTTCAAGGCGAAGGAGTAGTTTGCTTTGCAGTTGGTGCGAGGGGCTGCTTGTTGAAAACGCTGTTTGCTGATTCGAATTGTGTGGCACAGGGTCCAGAAGTCTGAATGGGAGTACCCCTAAACCGTGCGTCAATGACATTAGTTACAAGGCGTTTTCGAGCTGTGTACATCTGAGGCACTTTAGCAGCCTTTTAGGATCTTTCAGTCTTCCCGATGCAGCCTTTCATCTAAAACCTTCCAAGATTCTTCATGCCAAGAGGGACCCGAGCGCGCAAGCGTCTTTTCACCAATCCCGCGAAGTGTGAGTTTGCTAAGATAAGGGTTAGAATTTGTTGCACTTTCAGAGCTCAGCGACATGGGAATCTGTGTCCCGAACGTTTTCTTGCGCTGTCCTGTATCTCGCTCTGCCTTCATTGGTGTAGGTGCTCCTGGTTTCATCGTTGCTGTTCCGAGATTTGTTGCACACTACTGCTTTTGCAGATCCGGGTGCTTTGCGTTGAATAGGATTGATTAGGCATCTTTACAAGTTTGGGTACTGTTTGGGTATATCTTCTGAGGGCATCCTCGACAGTGTCATGTGTACGCTTTGTTGCATAGCGCTTTGCAGAAAGCAGCTGTTTTCAATTGTAGAACGCAGAGGTTTGCGCTGCCCAGGGCCCGAAAGCTTGTGCTACTTCCATTCCCGCCGCACATTCCGACAAAATGTAATCTTAGAGTTGTATCCAGGGTTCAGTGGGTGACTGCGGAGTCTGCTTTCTCGGGAGTTGGCACTCTTTCCCAGCAACAAGGATCGTACGGATATTAATGTGACTCAGCCCCCTTCCGGGAGCTGAGAAAGAGAAATGACGGAGGACTTGCCCCACAATGAATGTCTCTAAGCACGCCTCGCAGCTCAAATCTCGGCACATGGGCGCCTTTGGACACGCCATTCTGTCTGGGGTCTTTGCTGGTACAATTCGAGCATTGTGTGTGCAAATCGCAGGGGGGGGCCCCACCGCTGTTTGAGCTCTACAACCCTTCTTTAAAGCTATGAACTTCAAGCACACCATGTCGTCAAAAGGAGTTGCTTCAAAATCCAAATATTCTTTTCACGACCCCGTTTTCCAGGCATTGTGTTTATTGCGGGAGCTGCACTCCAACCCCCCCGCCCCCCACTTGTTTTATGCTGCGCAAGCTTGCTTTAAACATGCATACACAGAGGAATTGCCCTCAAACCGATGAGTTTTTGCAAGAACAGCCTATTGGCCCCGGCCCCAGCCCTCACCCAACAACAATGGACTCCTTTCCAAACCCCGTCTGCGCCCTCTCCCCCAAGCTTCTTTTGAGCTGTGCAAGCTTGCGATGAAGGACACCATGCCATCAACAGGGTTTGTTTCAAAACCCTGACGAAAGCTTTCCAAACCCGTCATACAAAGCATTGTATTTGCAAAATGGCCCGTGCTGCTACCAGTAGCTTGTGGCAGAGGAGTTGAATGGAAACGCAAGTCCACTTCAACCTCAAGTCCGAAACGAAGTGGCAAATGCTCGAATTGCGGTGGGTACTGGCAGCATCCGGGCACCTCCAACAAGTCTTCAAGTAGCCCACAAGCCCAGAAAGAGTACCCAGACCAATCTCGCCGCCATTTCTGGACTCTAAAATGTACCAGGACATGAAAAGCCTGCTTGCCGCATTCTCGTGCCAGGGAAGTCGAAACTGAGAGTGCAATGACTTCGCGATGGATGCGCCAATGTGTAGTAGAGTCGTTCTCCTTGTCAGTGCCTAAGTAGAGAAGCTTCCCTTTGTCAACTTGCTTCGATTTAAGTATCGCTGCCATGGCTTTAGGCACTTTGTCCCGACTCGAGAAGGTCACGGTGCTGACTGGAGTTGCGGCGAGTGTCAGCTGTTGCATAAACCAGGAGATTGACACAAGGCCTATCGCGCCTGCAACAGTACAGGCAGCCACCCAGCTGGTGCTGTCAATGGGTGGCTTTCTCTTTAGCCTGCTTCTTCACTGGAGGCATTCCGGCTCCTTCTGGTCCCCTTTAAAGCTGCTGGCTACATCGACGGTTTTCTGGTGCACGGCCGAGAATGTGGATGCTGCGCTGGGAGGCATCCTCTTTGGGGACCATCCCTGGGATCCTGAGAGGATGCAGGTGCCTATGGTGGGATCCATGCCCGCCCAGCAACCCATGTCCTTGCAATGGCACCTCTACCTTTCTTTGCTTCTGGCAGACACCTGCCTCGGTGGTTTGGGCGGCCTGGGCGGCCTGGGCAGCCCGCACGGCTCGGAAAACGTGGAGGGCATCTCCTGGCCCCGGGCTGCGTTGGGAGCGCTTTTCGCGACGCTGCTCGATGCTGCGGCGGAGCCAGCATGGCTGGCCTCGCGCCTCTACCGCTACACCGCTTGCTCAATCGAGGGCTACTGTGTCTTGGGTGTCGATCCCAAGAACTACGTGTCATGGTTCCTTCTGATGTCCCTGTGCTACCGCGCCTTCCTTGCATGGGATGGGTTGCCCGTCCTTTCAGTGGCGCCGACGTCCATTGTCATAATTCCTTATGTTGCCTGGTCCTCCGTGCTGGTATGGTACATGAACTTGATTGCAGCCTCGGGTGGTGGAGTGGGCGTGCAGCTGAACAGCTTGTTCATCGGTACTGTGCCGTTGATCTTTGCGACCTGCTGTGCGTGCACCAAACCACGCCCAGAAGTGAGGAAGCAGCACAGCAGTTGATAATGCAAAGGAAGTGAGTCGAGACTGATCGTAGTGCAAACTCTGGGCAGGCGCATGCCCTGTTTTCAGGAGTTTGGGCCGGCAAGCACCATGTTTTTCGGTTGCACGAAGTGCCTAACAAGGGCTGCATGCCAGGGGTCCGGGTGAGGGTCTGAGGGTTTAGGTTTTGGGTCCAGCTGTTGAACCAAACCCCCGAAGCTCTACAAGAAACTTTATTAAAGTCTTGAGGCGATAGCTGCCGAAGGGTGCGGATGCGGCGGTAGTGGAATCTAGTCAACCCGACAAGAACGAGTACAGCTAGAGCTCATGAGTCATGAGGGGCGACAAGCGCCCTGTGTTTTTGTGCGCTTCGGCAGGCCCTTGAGCACTTTTGATCATTTGTTAAATCCCAGAAGGTTCCTGGTGTTTGCACCAAAAGCTGTCTGATATCACAACATTGTCGTGGTTTCAAATGTCGATATCTTTTAGAAAGCAATGTAAGAAGTCTCTTACGAAGCTTTGGAGCCCATGAGGGTTCATCTGTTGCCTGTAGAGCCGTCCCTGTGCAGCCGACTTTTCTTTCCTTTGGCTCCCTTGACTCCTTTGACTCCTTTGACTGTGACATTGAGTCAAGTTTTGACACGTCCACGTCATTCGTGACGCATGTCATGCGTCTGTGGAGACATGGTTTCGGGCTTGGCTCTTCTTGAGACTTTACACCTGCACGTGACATGTTGGTTGTAGAACAGGAACTGCCCAAAAGAGTTGATGTCAGACCAAGCTATACGCAGCTATGCTGAGCTGTACGGATCCCTAAAATACTGCATCAGGACTGTTCGCAAATAAGCTTCTGCGTTGAACCCTTCTCCGACCGTGATGGATCGGAGCTGTGGGCGCAAGGGCCATGGATCTCTCGAACACTGTGCAAGATGCGCTCATGCTCAGGCGATGCGGATGCAGTCTGTTTATGGTCAGTGTAAGCATCTGATGCGCAAGTTTGTAGGATAGTTGGAGGTTCCGCAATGTTGTTTGGTCGCAGGGCTCACTGATACAAAGTTGGCTTCCATACTGCTCAGGCGCATCCCAACGGAGGGGGGGGACTCCTCGTCGTTGACGCCTCTGGTTATCGCTGGAGTTCCTGATTGGCTTGAAGACACGTCCTTTTCATACAATTTAGAAAGATGTGTTCAAGAGGACCTACAACTTTTTGGTTTGCTTCACAACTCTGTGGCGGCCTTTCTGTGGCCAAGTGATGCATGCCACAAGAGACGGCGGTTGCTGAACCGTGGGGTTTCCACAACTTCTCTCCGGTACTCCAGCCGCCAGCCGCATTTAATGTGTGAAGAGTCAGGCATCAGGGTCAGCATCCGCCTGATGTCCGACAGGCCCTGGCCAATTGTAAAGTCCATCGCGGTCGAGTGCCACATTGAAGATACAAAAAGACCTTTTCGAGGAGGCTCGCTCTCGAGCGTGGATGATCCGGACTGGGCCAACGACCTCTGGACCGCGCGCCATTATTGGGAGAAGCAGCTGCTGTCGGGCTTGGCCCAACACGAGGGTGTTCGGGGTGTCTCCGCCAGGAGGACGTACTCGGCAGAAACGGCAACAACGCTGGCAGGCCGTGAGGAGAGCATCTGGCAAAAGCACGGGCCCCAGGCCTTGGCGACTCTCCTGTCGGAGCTGATCTTGAATTGTGCCATGCACGATGCCGCGGTGCACCTCGAGGCCACGATGCTGGATACGATGCGGAGTCTTCCCTTCTGGCCCGAGGGTCCCTTGGACGTGGAGGAGCATTTTCCACCCCTCCAGCTCGCAGACTCTTATTGCGACGAGGACAAGCAATGGAGCCCGGAGCTCTTCTTGCGCTTGGCGTCAGTGGTCTGGACCGCAGCCTCGCACGGCGTCCAGGCCTTGAACCATGCTTTGGAAGCTTTGCAGCAGTGTTCGGTCCCCTTGGACCGCCTGGCGCTCAACACGCCTGTGATCTACCGCTCTGCGGGCCGGAGCAGGACTTTGGCCGGACCACTGCTCATGTTCGTCGTGGACCAGATGACCCGGCACGAGTCGGCGAGGGAGATCGTCCAGGCTGTTGTGGCTGCAAGCGCAGACGTGAACTCGAGCTACGTCCTCTTCCCCACTGGGAAGCACAAGGCTGTTGGGCGCTTCCCAGTGCTTTGCTTAGCCGGAAACCGCCAGGCCTTGGACTTTGCAGAAGCCGGGCTCTGCAGGAAGATATGCGATGTTAGATACGGTTAGTTACAAGGGTAAAGCTCAGGCGTAGACCCTGTAGATTTCGACCCTTAGAACTTTTGAACGTTTAAAACTCATGCCGACTCATGCCGTTGTTATGTAGTTAGATCTTTTTCCGATGGAATAAACAAAACGTTTTGACAAGTCTTTCGAACAAGTCTATCTGGAACTTGTTCAGAGAAAAGTCCGGAAGACGTCTTCCGTGAGTCTGCAAAACGTTTCGGGGAAGTCTACGAAGGAGGCAAAACAAAATGTAAGGGTTGGCCCGAGACCTGTTTTTAAGTGTGTAGACTGTTAGAGACTTCCCTTCCCATCTAGAACAGGTGTAGTGAAGAAACAAGTCCTCCCGCTTGCCCTTCCCCGTCCACGCCCCCCTCCCCTCTTCCTCAAGAGACTTTCCAGCCTTGTCAGACTTCATGCTAACTTTGCTTAAGACTCTCTGTAGGACTTTTGTTAGACTTGTTTCGACTTCTTGAAGACTTCGAAAGATGCTTTTGCGTATTTCCAGGTGTTTTTTTGTTAACTAGGGAAGCCAGCCACATAATCTTAAAGTCTTACGCAACACGCAACCTTAGAGCACGCCATGAGCCCAGAGCGCACAAAAGTAAGGAAGCCTTGCTGGAGCGGAAAGCCGATGCCAACCGGGAGATCATACTCAACAACTTCTCGCACGGAGGCAATGCTCTCTGGAGCGCTGTTTGGGGAAGCAACTATGCCATGATTCGGCCCCTTGACCACAGAAGGAGCAAATGTTACGATTGTCCTTTTTTCCTCGCGTTGTCCCGACTTCATGTGGTATCCCGGATTCTGGGAAGGAGTTCCGCTGGAACTGCTGTTGTGTTCTTGTGCCATCTTGTGTAATTCTCACAGCATTCTGCTGCCCTGGTCACAGTTGCTAATTCAGGCTCCTCCTGGCATTCGGGGATTCGAGCGTCAACATCCATGCCTGGCACCCAGATGCACCGCCTTTGCCACTGGGTCATATGAGCACAGTTTTCTGATGTTTTCTGCTACTTTTCGAAACTCCACAGCCAGAGTTAATGGTTGATGATGGAAGAGCTCAACCGAAAACCCCAAAAAATCGCAAGACCACATATGAACAAAGCGTTCTTGACCTGAGATTCTTTTGAAGGCATCTTCAATAAACAGTGCTTTTTGAAATCTTGAGAAAAGGGAATCCTTCGAGGTCGCGGCAACCTCGGCAAGTGCAGCTGCTCTCCTTGGCCACCACGGCCCTGGACTCTGAGCACGTGCATCTGCTGCTCGAGTGCAAGGCCGACTTCCAGGAGGCGGAGATTCGAATTGGGGGGGGGGGGGGGGGGGGGGGGGGGGGGGGGGGGGTGGTTGGCACAGTTGGTTGGCACAGGTGGTTGGCAGTGGTTGGAGGGGTGGCGTGGCAATTGCGGCAATGCGGTGTGTTTTGGGGGCTTCCGTCTGGGCTTTCAGTGCTCTGTCAGTTCTCCCACTGCAGGAGCTTTCGTCCACCTTCGCTTTGTGCCACGCGGATGTGAGTAAGCTGCTGGCAAGCCACGTGGCAACCCGCCATCCGGAGGCAAGTCCTTATGGCGAAAGCAGTCCTACATCGCTGCTGAGTCGCTGAGTCGCTGAGTCGGTTCCTCCGCAAACCGTTCTAGTGCCAGGAAGCTGGGGGCAATATCTCAAAAGAAGCCTCGCCCCCTTGAGATGCGCACCGACAGGCCTTGGTGCAGCGGTGTGATGAGCTGGATGCCTGGCTGAGTACCGGGTGGTAGCGTTGTCATGTTGCATGTTCTGATGTTTTGTGCTGACTGACTCGCTGATCCATGACAAGACACTTCCTTCCACAAATCTGAAGAAGTAGCTAAGTAGCCCTTTGACATCCTTTCAAAGAAGCAGGATGGGTGTAGTGTAGGAACTCATCTTTTGCTCTCATGCATTCCAATCGTAATGTATGTTTCTGTGAGAAGGTCTTCGGCGATTGTTGCTTTTGGTCCGAGGGTTTTTGTTGCGCTCCGCCAGCCAGTGCTGACAGGCTTGCTCAGTGAGAGTTTTGCACAGAGGGAGTTGGCGGTTCCTCGATGTTTTTGTGAACCAGATCATGGGAGGCCGTCTTGCGAGTTCTTAGAATTGAGAGTTGCGCAATGTCAACAGAAAGGCACCCGAATTGTAGAGAAGCGCTGGTGCAAAACTTGAGCCCAGGAGGGCAGCTGTGGCGTTTGGATCGATTGGGCGTTCCAGGCGTGGCGGGAATGGCTTGTGGGACCGTCTTCCTTGCAAACCACCGTGAGAGCATCTGCTTTTTGTGAGCATCTGCAAAAGGACGTGAGCTGTGGTGTTTCATTGGTGTTCTCATTTGTGTTTCCTCATGGATCTCCGCCAAAAAAGTTCCGGGGGCTATTCAGACTGTTCTCTAGACCCGCTGTAGTATCCTCCTAGCCCCGCCGCGGAACGTAGTCCCACGAGCCTCTGTCCCAAGGCATCCAAGAATCTAAGCCATTCTCCTAGATGCCTCGGAAGCCAAGAACAGATCCGTCCCCCGAGAAGTTTGCCCCCCCCCTTCCTCCCCGCGGAGAGCCCCAGGAGATCGCCCGCGACGCCGCGGCCAGGAAGCGCTTCCGGAAGGCCTTGGACAGGGCTTCCGCGCTGAGGGAGGCGCGATTGGGGTGCCAAAGGAGTGCTGTGTTTTTGGCGGGCAGAGATTGGCAGTGGGTTCGGGGTTTAAAGGGGGGCGGGGGTACGTTTTCGTTTGGTGATTGCTGTGGCATTCGCTTGGGCTCTTCTTCTTGCTTGTCATTGCCGCAATGATCCGCCCTTGATGCTTTGTTTTTTTTCCTCCTGCCGTCTGCAGAAGGGGAGTGGGTTTTGTTTAGCCGCTAGAGCAGACTCGCTGTGCTTCAGTCTGAGATCTTCGTTCGTGCAGCAGCACTTGCGAGGCACACGACTCCCTGATCCGCTTCACCTGTGACCTGTGCCTTGGGGCACTTCTTACAGCTTGAATCTGGGGTCACTGGGGTCTTGCGTATTGAAAGGCTTGGGGAGTCGATCATGAGTCCTGTGATCGTGTGTCATGGCTTCACGAGGACCATCCCTAGCCTGTGATGGTTGGCTTCGCAATCGTACTTGCGTGGTCCCTCGTCCCTCGCTCTTTCCTTTTTCTTCGCTGTCGGCTGAGCGCCGGAAGCTTGGAATCTGGCAACCCTGTACCCAGTTCGTATTCCGAGCCCACACGTAGGCCTTGTCTTCCAGCTTCCAGCTCTTGAATCTAGCTACCCGCGACGACTCAGAATCCAGCGCCTTCCGAGCGCCGCTTCCGAGCTTCTGGATCGGATCTGCCTGCAGACACCACAGGCTGGAGATGTGTGGAGTGCAGGGTTTAGGACGTCTTCACAAAGTGTAACGGCTTGGAATAGTCTGGGAAGCATGACGAGGGAGGGAGCGAAGGGGAGAGAGAGGGCTGACAGACTGATTCAGCGGGCCGGCGCGGCCGGGGCCACCCCTCGGGGGTTGGGTAGAAGAAGAAGAAGAAGAGAGGGCGCGAGAGAGCGAGAGAGAAGGTCATCTTGGTTTTGGCTCAAATCTCGTGGGGGAAATCCGCCATCCCTCGCTCCTGGCTTCCCTTGCATTCCTCAAGTGGGGGGGGGGGGGGGGGGGGCGGGAGAACAAGAAGCGCCGAGCAGGGAAAGCAACATCGTGGAAGAGGACATGTGGGACGAAGCAGCCGTGCAAAAAAGAGCCGTGGAGCCGGAGGAGCGAGAGTACAGCCATAAAGAGGCAAACCCAAGCTGCCAGATGACGCCACGTATGCAGACGTCCTGATGTGGCCATGCCCAAGATGTGCTCCTGAACCAGCTACGAGCACACGTGGCAAGCAACGCAAGAAAGCAACAGCAACCCCACAACAACAGTGTTGGGGAGACTTTCAAACCAAAGCAGCCTGTTTCCTCAACGCGGGGAAGTCTCCCCTGAGCACGATGGCAGTGTGCGACCCAACCAACCGCCCAAGCCACAACGCGAGACCGAGACCCAAGCACAGAACACTCAGACCGAGCCATTACGCGCCCCAATTATCAGATACAAAAGCAAGGGAGCCAGGCCAGCAAGCCTTAATCCCTCCAAGACCGCATCGCAGAGACCAACCGCCAGAGAACAAACCAGATAGAACCAGATATACAACGCCAGCGCCGCTCATCGTCCACAATATCAGCCGCCCGGAGACACGATGCAGCAACAGACCCCCAGTACAAAAAGGGAAGCAAACAGAGGAGAGCCCCCACTCAGCTGTCGAGGTGAGACAAGGGGTTGCTCTGTTCGGTATGACATGGTATGCATGTTGCTTACCCCTCGTCCAGCAGCGGAGGGGGCAACGCATGCAGGAAGCAGCCGGCCTGAGAGAAAGGCGGGAAGGGTACAAAAACTCCTCGCCGGGCAGACAATCACCAGCAAAGCAGGCAAACTCCAAGACCGCAGGCAACATTTTAGGCACCGATCTCAGGGAGACAAACAGCACGAGGCAACTCAGAATCAACAAAAGAAAAGGTGGCGGAAGAAATTTGGCAGGATGGTCATGGCACTGAACTTATGACAAAAGTGAGCCTGACAGTGTACAGCCAGCAATTGCACCAGGGTCATGTTAACCAGCCACTTGGGAAAGTATTCCGATTATATTGAGATGTGTCGCGTCGTTTCGAGCGAAACCCGTGTTTTTCTAATCTCAGTCCGACCTCGATTTCACTGGTGCGCTCGAGAAGGAGGCCATAGGAGGCCCTTTACCCATGCCCGGCAGAAGAAAAGAGAGAGGCAGGCCCACTGCAGAAGCCTGACTACGGCTCTCAGGCCTTCAAGAGCACGGGAGTGCTACCCAGTGCAACCCTTGAAGAATTCCCCAAGATGCCTCCCAAGTCCGTACGCTCAACACACGTGCAGGTGCAGGAGCCCGCACGGCATCCATTGAGAACTCGCTGTCTCTTCCAGGCTGGCATCGGAGTATTGAAGGTTTACTTTCCTAATACCTATATTCCCTCGTGCTCTCGATCTCTCTCTCTCTCTCTTTTTCTCTCTTGCTTTCTCTCTCTCTCTCTCTCTCTTTCGTGTTTGCGCGCATGAGGTCTGGAATGCCACCACAGTTCTTTTGTGTAGCTGATCAAATTCTTGTAAGCAGGCTGGAAGCCTGGAAGCCTGGCTGTGCGCAGGCGAGCAATTTCCGCACCGCATACATCACGGAGACCAAGTGGAAGCCTGATGGCACCAGGCTCCCGGTGGGTTGTCCTCAGGGGCTTCCTGCAATTTCTCTGTCACGCGAATATGGAGTCGTCGCAATGTTCCCAGAACCGCCTCCCCCAACATGTCGTGGGCATGATGGCCAGACGTGTTCCACCCTGTGTATGGCTAGTGAAGCCCTGAAAGTTCGGTCCTGAAACCTCCTAAACTCAGTCATGCCTCTGAGACCCGCCCTCTCACCAGAAAAGTCTCGAAATTTCCACGACCCCTGACCGCTGATCCGTTTTTGATCCCATACACATTGATTCGCCGAGATCGAGTTTGGGGCTCCTTTTTGCTTTGTGAAGGTTCCAGGATATCCTGGCGCCCCCATCGCTCGAGGAACGGGGGCGGCGCTGCTGGGTGGAGTGCCTTGACATGCCTTGACATGCCTTGACATATGCGAAACAGCAGAACCGGTAGTAGACTGGAGATCATGTGGATGTTCAGGGTGGTTGTGTTGGAGTTTTCCGGAGGGTTTGGCTTTCAGGGCTGGAAAGGTTGTACCCGTACGAGCGACCTCCTGCGGAGGTCCATGGACTTCTGCGACGTGCTGGTGGTGAACTTCCCCGGGATCATGGACGTCCGCGTGCTGCGCGCACTACGTTCGCTTCCAAGAAGGACGCTGATTCCGCTGCTCCAGGAGCCTCGTTTTCTCTAGCATCTCCCTGAGTCTCTTCGTTTCCTGTCCTTAGGTATATGAAGAAAATTTGGAGGGTATCCAAGTATCCAAAGCAGAGCGACATTGGCGTTGTTCTCTCTAACACGTTATAACACGTTCAAAAATCTACTCAGTCACCATTTTTGAGGCGGTTTCTGTGATGGGTTGGGATGGTGGTGTTGAGGCTTGTGGGTTCACTGGAATCTGCGTAGCAACCTGCACCAGCATCGCATTGCCAAAGGAAAGCGTTGTGTTCCAGGGCTTGATCGAGTACATCTGGACACAGCGTGTGCGCTTCTACCACTATGTCAAGTCTGCGCACACAGTCGTGCAGCTGTGTGTTCTGTTGCTTTGGTGGCAGAGGCCCGGCCGAAGATTTATGTTGTTTGGGTTGCGTGTTTTCTGCATTGGTCAGCACCCCGACGCATTTGAAAGGCCAGGCATGAAAACCCTTGAATTTGTGGATCTGAAGAAGGGAGAGGCAGCCACCCGACCTTTTGAGGCTAAGGCTGTCACGCCCTCTTCTACTGCCGGACAAGCGTGTTCAACAAGCCAACAATGCGACATGACACAGCTGTCTTGGTATCTCTGGAAGCTCTATTTACCTGGAATAACAAACGTCACATCGCCCAGCTTCTGGTCTTTACTAAGGACGCAGAGCACGGATGTAGCAGCATTCTGCTGGGGCCTCTTCACTGGAGTCCTTGGCGTCCAGGTCTCGGGTCTCATGCTCGTCCTACTTCGATTGGAGGTTCCGTACATGTTGGGCGTGTTCCAAGCAGGCGGGTCGGGCCGTTGCAGTTTGTGGATGACGTGTTGTAAGGTCGGTTGTATTGCTTGTGCTAGTGCAATGTCGTCCATTAGGCTATGCGATACGCCTGGTGTCTGCTAGTTGGGGTGCCTGGGACGACCTGCCACGGACAGAGTACAAGTCACCCCTTGCGGTCAATGTTGCGGTCTGTGCCTTGGCTTCACTTCTGGAAAGAGCATGACCCCAAAAGGGGTTCCTGAGAGAGAAGCAACCCACAAATCCGCTCAGGCTGGTCAAGCAAGTTGTATGATCCATCCTTTTGTGGATCAATGCATCTTTTCGGTCCATCTGAACAGTTTAAGTTTACGTATCACCGCAGAAACAACGTCCTGGGGTCTTTTGGAGGTGACTTCAGACTACGTATGCTGAATTCGAAGAAGGGCCAAGCTTCCAAGTGCTTAGCCAAGGCATGCTTGCGATCGTGTACGACTGCCGGGTTCTCAAGCCCTTCGGCCTTCCCGTCGGCCAAAGCCTGCTGCCCATCCTCAATGCCGCTGGCAACGTGGAGTTTGCAGCAATGTCCACGGTCATTTCCGTGGCGCTCTTGGCCACGTTCTTGTACGTCTGCATCGAGTTTGAGGATGCTTGGCTGCTCTTGGGTACTGTGTTTTTTACAAGACTTTGGACTTTAGTGGCAAGTGCAAGGGCTGTTGTAACGAGGGAAGTCAAAGGGCAAAAGAAGAGATCCAGGAAGAAGTTGGGTTTCCTTCGAATGCCTTCCAGACCTGGCAAACGCTGATTGTTGGAGAGCCAACCCTGGTGGATGCCAGAGACTATCAGAAAGATGCTGTCCGATACCTGTCAGTGTCAGCTTGCTTCCTTGTGTCCAACACCGTCTTGATGAACATCTTCATCAACGTGACCGGCGCCTCGTATCTGCAGGAGCGAGCCGGTGTTGTGGGCACATTCGCAGCTGAGAGGCTGCGGATTTGTGTAGCGTCCACGTCGGTCGACAGCTGCGCCCGAGGAAGTGTCTGTGCGCTCTTTCTTGTGCTTTGGTCTGTATGGCTTGCAGTTGTCCTCTTCACCTCAAAGCCCTCGACGATCTTCCCGGTCGTCACAGCTTTGGTCACTTGGGTCATTTCCTACGGCTGCCATGGGTGTGTGGCAAAGGCGTCCGTCTTGGAGCTGGACTCTGAAGCCTCGACAGAGCTCCGGTACCTCTGGATCTGCAGAAGGGCCACCCGACCGGCCAACGAGTCCTCCCAGAGCCGGAGACCGGTGAGTGCCTTGGAGCAGGTCCGGGCACTGCAGGCGCGGCTCGGGATGCGCGAGGCTTCCGAGTCCCTCTTCGAGCTGTGAGTTGAAATGAGTTGAGTTGAGCGTGTTTTGGGCTCACGATGGCTCACGTCTCCTCGTGTTAACGTAGCAGTTTCACATTGGTGTGGGCGCCAAGCAGCCCACACTTGACAGCATTTGTTTTCGATTTTTCTAGTTTTGGTGTTTTCTTCGGGTTCGTTGGTCGCTTGTTGGCTTGTGCCGCTACCCCGCCGCTACCCCGGCTTTCCCATTCCGTAGAAATCTCGAGCGCGTCCGGAAGGCGAATGTCTTGTCCGATGTGCCACATGTCATAAGAGTCCAAAGGCAAGGGAGACGTTCCAGTCCAGATCCGGCCACCCTCTGTGACAATGTCCAAACAAAAAAGAAGCTGTGCTGTGAGATTTCATCTGTCTGAAGAGGCGAAGAGGAGTTTGGGTGTTGTGCTTTCGGTCTGTGCCCGGAGCACTTGTTCAGGCCCTGCAATTGCCAGGCTTTGTGGTCTTCGAGTCGGCTCGTAGACTCCAGCCATCTCCAGCCGCCACGCAGATTTCTGCTTGCGGGAGGCCGTTGGGCCCAAACCGCACAGAGACCATGGCAATTGTGCAAGTGCAGCTCGCAGGAGCGCTCTCAGACAGCAGAAGGAAGCAGAGTATCACATATCCAGGATCAACATTTGGGGCATTATCATGAACAGTGTCCCTCAAGTTGCTTTGCAACATTGGCACGGTGACAGCGTCGTCAGAAGTATATGGAATTTAGCTCCATGCCGAACCTTAGCTCACGTGCGCTCACTCCTTCTCCAGAGAAGCACAGCACCTTAGAGGTCACAGGCTTCACGAAAGCCACGAAACTCCCGCTTGCCAAAGCCTTTTCGCGGTCCTTGCCGCCATGGGGGGAGGGTTCGAGCCTCGGGCAAACTGACCCAAAAACCCTCGGGACATCCCAGCTCAAACCCTAAACCCCTCAACTTCTACTTGGGAAACCGTACCACTCTGTTGCCTGTCATGTGCGCCTCAACCGTCTCCAGAAATTGCGCCCCCTGAGTCCCTGCTGAGGTACAACGATGGCAAGGGCTCCCGGAAGGCGATCCGTAGTGCACAGCTGCATACCGTGTTGCACTCCCAGGTGCACACGGTTGTTGTGGGCAGTTATCTCGGCAGCGTGCAAGATGCTGCCTTAAGAAGAGTGCCCCAGTTGGGTTTCAGTTTGGGACCCTCATGACGAGAATGCTCTCGCCTCCTCAAGATTGCCATCCATTTGCCGACGTCGAGTGCGCCCCGAACCCCATGTAACCCCAGCCACATTGGCTTGTGCAACTCAGGGGGGTGGCTACTCTGCGCACGGGGGCCCAGCTGGTCGGAGTAGGCAGACACCTGCGTGTGTATGGCATACAATTTGACATGCACTTTTTCAAACTCCCATGTTCAGAAGGAAGCCGTGGATGCTCTGGGATTCTGGGAAACACAACCCCCCAAATAAGCCGAGGTCCAGCAGAGGAGGCGAGTGTCTTGTGAAATCCTGGGCTTGGGGCCATTGTGCGGTTCAAGGTTTGATATCGAAGGGTTCGCCTTGTGGTTTGGGGTTGAGGGTTGCGAGCTTAGTGGGTGTAGCATTCGGAGTTGCGGGTTTCCGAGGTTGGGAAGGCGGCAAAGGCCCAAAAGCCGCAGTTTTCGTTGACCCTACACGCCTGAAGCACCCCAAAAACGTCCAGCCTCCTGAAGCCTCAATTGGCCCTCCCCGAACCGCTTAGCCGCTAAGCTCCCCTCAGCCTACAAACCCAAACGACCACGTGGGGATCAGGCAAGGGTGGCGATCGGCGCAGTGTACCCAAGGCCAGTGCTTGCTCCAGAGGTTCTCAGGGCAGCTTCCATTTTTTATAACATTTTGTAACGGAGGCGGAGGTCCATGTCGTTTGAAGTTTTGAGGTTCGAAGTGCATCTGCAATTCCAGCTCACTGAACCCTTGAGGTCTGCAGAGGTCCCCAGAGCAGGGGTTGCGTGCTTGAACAAAAACGTCCCCTTCCCTGTTGCAGTTCATACCTGCACGGGGCGGTGGCGACTGGGGTGCGCCCTCTCAGGGGTTTCTTGTGTGAGGTTTAACGTTTAGTTGGTCGACTCGAGGGCTTTTTTGGGGTGTGGAGCTTGGGACGTTTGGGCACTTGAGAAGGGGAGCATCTTCCGCCCCCCGGATCCCAATCCCATGTGAGCATGGCACCTGAGCACACCTCTGTAGAAGGAGAGTGATGGCATTGATAATGTTTGTGATAGCATTCATGGTCAATGGTTGCAGTGTTTTCTAAATACGTGTTTTTATGATGACACAACAGTTCCTTGTATTAGTATATTCCGAAGGAGTCGGTAAACGATGAAGAAGTAGAATATTTCACAAAACCAGAGTTTTCAGCACTTTCTTTTGCAGCTAATGATATATTGCCGTTGTCATCGGTTTTATCTAAAGTTTTTGTGAGTTGTCTTTGGACTTTTCTGTCCATTGTGGGAGTGGGGCGCAGGCCATGCGGCTGTCTTGGTTGTCTGTGTGATGGGTGAGTTAAAGGGTTGGAGCCAGGCAAGAAGCTGCGACAAGAGCAGCAGGCGGCCATCAAGGACGAGAAGACAAAGCGCGAGGTGGGACAGAGGTTGAGCCGAGTGCGTCGCACTCGCCGCATTCGCGGCGACCTCAAAACCCTGAAAAGAAAGCCTCGATCAGGTGGATTACTTCTGGCAGCAGCAGGAGTACTTCAGCGGCGGTGTGCTTCTGGCTCTTTTGGAAGAGGGCGCTGGCGGGGTTAGGAAGTACCCGGCCTAGACCGAAATCTTGAGACCCAACCGCCCAAAGCCGCCAAGCCCAGCATCTCCCGGCCAGGGAAAAGGGCGGAAAGGCAAAGGCTACCAGGACCCGGCTGCAACTCCTGTGGCCGCGGGCGCTCTTGGAGTGGGGGGGTGAAGTGGCCTACAGTAGACTCAGTAGACCACGCCCCACCCCTCCTCTCCAGCCCTGATTGTCCAGTAACCCTCGTTCGATTGGAGCGTTGACTCGCGGCGGGTCGGCCTTAGCGCTACCGGGGGGAGTAACGCAAATCCTCGCGGTAACTCAGAACATGAGTGTAGTTTTTTTCTTGGGGGGGGGGGTGGGCGGGGGGTGGGCGGGGGGCGGATTTATTGCACAAAGATTGAATGCGCACCGTGCCACGTGCACCCCCTTTGTTTGAAGAAAGAGGAAACCGCGGAGCAGCTCTTTGGGGCGCAGCGCGAGAACGTGGGCATCGACTTCGACAAGCGGGGGGACCAAAGCTCCTGGACAAACCCTCTACACATCCACGCCTTTTATCCCCCCTAAACATCCACCCCTAAACATCCTGCTCCCACGGCCCCTAAGAGAGAGGAGGTCTTCGGAGGTCTCTGGATGTTGAGTCGACGGTTCGGGCTGAAGGGCGCGTCGTGTTCTGAGAGGTACGATGACATCCCGGTTGACCTGTCGGGACAGGGTGCGGGGGGCCTCAGAGGAATCTTTCTGACTCCCAGAGCACTCAGAGCGATTCTGTGCAGTTCACTGCGCATGTGAGGGGGGATTATTAAGTGCAGGACCCAGGCGAGATCGCCTTAAGATTGGAGCGCGATCTAGGCACATCCGCTGCCCAACAACCCAGAAAACAGCCCCCCCCCCCCCCCCCCCCCCCCCCGAATCCGGCGATTCCCGCGGCCACGAGCACACATACATACTGGCACGCGGTGACCTCAACCCAATCCCGGTTTGGGGAGACATTCTGAGCCCGAGGCTGAGGAGATCGAGGGCCTGGAGTGCTTCGACGAGCTGTGGGTCCTTTTGCCGCAACCACAAAAGGGCGAAAAATCCTGGCCCCTAGTTGTCCTCTACAGAACCCGCCTAAGGATGCATAGAGAGCTATTGCATCGTAACGAATGGCCAGGGTCAGCCATACCCCAAACTCGTAAACCTCACAACTTTGGAATCTTGATGAGTATCTTGGCAGTTCGGATTGGGGAGGCTTGGTTTGGGATCTCAATCTCCTTGCTTTGGTCATGGAGGCTTCTGAAGCCCACGGAAACCCCACAAGCGCTTGACCCTCTGAGGAAGCAAGCAATAAGGAAGCCCCTTGTTAAAGCCTTAGAATTCAGGCGCCCCTCATGTGAATGCGCCATGCCATCAAAGGGAGCCCAGCCCCCCGGCTCAGGATCGGTTCTACCCATGCGGAGAAAATGTCTACAGGCCTTTCCAATCACCAAATCCTTAAACTTGAACCAACACAAACAAAGCAGGAAAACAACGTCACAAAACCCCAAAAAGCTCTGCCAACCTTCAGTGATTCAGGATCGGTTTTACATCCACGACTTCCTCTGGGACAACCTGGAGAGATGCCACTACCGTAAGCCCGGTGCTCACGCATAGAGGGTCCCGCCGAATATTCGAGTGCGCCCCCTTGACTGCTCCACACAAAAAAAACGAGACCCCCTAAATTCCGATGAAAGGCCCCGGATCGCCCCCCCTCCCCCCATGTCTCACCGAGGCCCACTCCGATCCAGAAGTTCGCAGTGCCCGCAGCGTTGGCGGGGAAGGAGCCTTCTGAATCGTTCTGGGGGCTTCGATGTTGTGAGGGTTGAGCGAAGTTAGTATCGGGGTCCTTCGTAGGGGGGTGTCTACCTTCAGAATTTTAAAGGTAGAGTTCAGGTTCATCGCCTTGGAATTTCGACCCCAAACCCTCGAACTCGTCCGTGGTGCGCTTGTGTGGACACCTGAGGAGCATGCTGGGCACAGAGTTGCGCCTGTTGATAAAGCTGGAGCGTGCAGTCTTTTTTACACTCCACTCGGAAGTCGAAGCTGTTGTTTGTCAGAACCCCGCGCCGTGACCGGAAACAAAGCCATTGCCCAGCAGAATCCTGTGCCCCAGCAGAATCCTGAAGGATGAACCAACTCGAGCTTCCGCCCAAAGGTCTGAACACCCAAAGCTTCCCAGGATTGCATGTGCTGTGCCCAGACGGGTTCAGGCGCGAGCTGTGCAGGGAAGCCCCGAGGGTTTAGGGAGGGGCTGCGAGTGAGGCGCTGCCCCAATCCTTGAAGCGACCAAATGGGGTGTTTGTCCCCTGAACGACCCTGGTTCCGAGAGGCAAGACCTGCGCCTTCCTTTTGCCCATCCTCAGCTGCCTGGACCTCGCGCAGGCGCCCCACATCGCCCCGCTCCTCCTCAACGCATGGAACCCGAAACCCATGCCAATCCGAATCCTGACTCACTGAACCCTGAACCGCCCCAAAGGTCCGCTGTCTCGAAACCCCCCCCCTCTGTTTCCCCCTGTTTCCCCTCCCCTTCCCAAGATTTTATTTGCGCCTCGTCCAGGCCGCGGGCGCAGTAGGCACCAGCCATGGCGAGCCCTCAGCACCGAAGGTGGTGCGGGGGATAAAGTGTGTAGGGTGTAGGGCAGTGTTGGCAGTGTTGGGTTGTTGAATCTTGGTTGAGGGTTGGTGTAGGGTCGAAGGTTGAAGGCTTGGGGTCGGTTTCATCTTTGCTTTTAGTTTTTTTTGCTTTTCCTGTTCTGCCATCGAAAGCACCGCGAGATCATGTGTTTGCTAGGGCTTGCTCGTTCATGAAGGTGTAGCTTGGAACCTGTGCATGACTCTGAAATTGTACCATAGCAAGCGCCCTACATGGCTTGCAGGAGTTATAGGTGGTTGGATTGTTTGCCAGCAGGCCTTCAGTTTTGGTGAAAATCATACCCCACACCAGCGGCGCTTAGAAATCAGTGGACGCCCAGAGCAGGTGAGATTCTGGACCAAACTCGAAAAATCCCGACACCCAGGATCCCGGAGCCACCAAGAGCCACAGGGGTCCCAAGAAACCCAAGAAGCCCTGAAGAAGCCCGGGCGAGAGGCGGTCATCTTGGCGCCGACGCGGGAGCTTTGCTCCCAAATCCACTTGGAGGCCACAGGGGGCCAATGTGCATCCAGGAGGGGTTTTCGCATGCCTTAGGTGCAAACTTTGTTGGCTGACGCTTGTCTCCAGCTCCTGTGCCGATTCCTGGTGTATCGAAGGCCAATTGAGCCAGAACCTCGTTGCACCAGGGTTACAGAAATGCGCGGTCTGGGCATTGTCGTTCCAGAAAATGCCCGTCTGACAGAAGCCTTGAATAGCTTGGCTCGAGCAATGCACCGTTGCGCAACTTTCAAAGGTCTCGGCATGGAGTCGGTTTCAGTAGCCTCGTTTTGGTTGGTATGGGTTTCCTGATGGTGAGAAAAGCCACCGCGAAATCCTTCCGCGCAGGCCAAGAAGCTGTCTTTCAAATCTCCGGTGCCACCGGCACGGATTGAAAAGCCATGGGCCTGAGTCGTCACAGCACAGCTTGGGGGCCTTTGGGGGAGCCTTGCAGGGAGCCCCCTCCACACCCCAGAACGCCTTGAGGCTCAGCTGTTTTTGTTAGCCCCCCCACCCTCTTCCACTCCCTTCCTCCCTTCCCCCCGGCAATTCCCCGCTGCTCTTTTCCTGGCAGGTGCGGGCTGGTGAGGTCTACGGAGGTGTGGACGCCGTGGACTTGGAATGGACACCTCAGTGTGCCCTCACTTGCCATGCTGCATCGACATTCTAAATATTAGTCTCCAAAAAAGATCTCTCCGGAGCATTTTTGGGGGGCAACTTCGCCCAATGCCGAGGCCAAGCCTCAGCTGCTGGATCTAGCGCGAGGCGCCGAAGCAGGGGCTGTTGGCGGCGTGTTAAAAGGACCCAAAAGGACCCCACTTTTTTGTCGTTGCTACTTGCTCGAGTGGTTGAGAGTGTTTCAGGAAGCTTCGCGGGGGTGCTCCGATGTTGGGGGATGTCTAGTGAGTCTAGTGCTCAAACAATCCCGACGGCCAGGCGTCGACATCGTGACGGCCACGCCTGGCCGTGGCCTCTGTACAGCCTACTTCCCTTTAAAACCCAAGGCTCAGAGGGATCAACAAGAGTTCCCTTGCTTGGAGGCCGCCTCACAGACTTCATCGACCGCGGGGTCATTACCATGTGCCGGGCTGGGGTGTGAGGGCAATGAGGGCAATGAGGGCACCCGGAGCCCTGAACCCGTGCATTCGAGTGTATCCACGTCCCAATCACCGAAGCCCTCAGTAGGGGCCGTCGATGAGCTCAGTTCAGCCTGAGACAACAAACGCATCAACAAAAAGCGCCTGCCCAAGACACCAGGTGCAATGTGGGCTTCCTGGTGCTGGACGAGGCAGCTTGAAGCTTCACAAGACCAGCACGTCCGGTTCCCTTTTCAGAGGTTTGCGGGGACGGAACTTTGAGAGGATTCTATGGGGAGGACATGTTGGGGTTTCTTGTGCAGCTCCCCTCAAGGTTGCAAGGGGCTCCCCGAGGGGCCCCTGAAAGCGCAACTCAACCTTCAACGCCGCGAGGCCGATCGCATGCTGGACATGGGCTTCGAGCCGCAGATCCGCGAGATCGTGCAGAAGCGGGCCCTTCGGCATCCTGTTGGATGTGTGGGAAGCGGGCTAGGGCTAGGGCTTCTAAGAATTTGGAACGCATCGGAGCTTGCACAGCTTGACTGCTGTGGGGGCTTCTGATTCAGACGTGAAGCCCCCTTGAGCCGCACTGGCTTCAAGACCCTCGTGCTCTAGTGCTAGAGCAAGAGCAAGGAGTCGGAGGTTCAAGGGAGGCCACGCCAGCAGGGCAACTTCCGCCTGCTCAGCAGCCTTGCGTTGAGGTGGCAGAAGGTGCCGGATGCCTACGAGTGCACTGGCAGCAGTACAGGCGGCAACGAAATACACAGTCCGCGTTCGCGCCGCGGGCAGCAGCGATTGGCTGCTCTTCGACGCGGCCACGCAGCTGCTGGTGGAATCCGGAGGGGCCCCGCGGGTCACCCAAGCCACCCAAGCCAAGTCAAGTCGAGCCAACAGTCAGCGCGTACACCGTCCGATGCCGGCAGGGAGAGGGCAGTGGATGTGCTTTGATTCCAAGACGAAGTTGCTTGTTGAGTCAGGGGGCTTGGCCTTGAAAGCTTCCGTGAGTGTGAAATTGAAATTGCACCCCCGAAGCACTTGCGGAAACACTTGCGCGCAACCCCCCCCTCCCCGTCAGCCAAGGATATGCCTTCCTGCAGGGAGGCGCGGGTGAATTTGGGCTCAGAGGTTCAACAGGTTCTCTGAGTAGGAGCGAGGGAGCGGATGAAGGCATGGGGATGGGGGTTCATCAACGGGGCGCCTGAGGCGCTGATTTGGGGCTGTGGGTTTCGGCTTCGTGTAGGGGTGAAACAAGCCCCCACGCTTCCTCGGAATCTTCGAGCTGGATCCGGACCGGATCCACCACGGCAGGGGCGTATGACGCTGATGTTCTCCGCGACCTTCCCCAAGGAGATCCAGAAGCTCGCGCAGGCCTTTATGAGGCCAACGGGGCAAGCAAACCTGAAGCAAATCCTGAAGAACTCAAAGCCCTTCATGGTGGTTGGGGTTGAGAGTCTTGGGTCTCGGGAACGTCTTTCTGAACGATCAAGGTTGAGAGGGGTGATAGATAGGAGTGCTTGGTTCAAAGGCGTAAAGTTTGATTCGCTGCCAGGACCGGAGCAACCCCGAAAGCCAAACAACCCTCCAAACTCTCTGCTCCCCAAGCTTCAAGCTGTTTCCAAGCTCTCTAAACTCTCTAAGCCGGGCACACAGAACAAGTTGCAAGGAGCTACATCTGGATTGGTGTCGGCCGCGTCGGTGGAGCGGTTGACACGGCGGGGAAGCCAGAGTCAGAACTCGGGGTTGCAGTTCTAGGAATGTAGTTCCATCCGCCCCCCAAACCCTGAAAATGCCAAAGAATCCTCAAACAGGTGGAGCAGACCTTCATCGTCACCGGCAACCGAGGCAAGCTGCAGGGTTCAATGTGCTAGATAGAGCTGAGCAAGAAGCACTGCTCATATTTGTACTGGCCATAGATGCATTCCTGTACCCTCCTGCACAGGCAAGCCTGACGTCTTGACCCAGGTCCGGGGCCCACCTCAAGCACAAAAAGGGGCTGCGATTGAATGTCGTGCTTGTCTGGGTCCTTCTGGGCCCTACCACAACCCAGGTCCTCAACACCAACCCCACGGATTCGACCCTGATCTTCGTGGCCATGAAGCGCACAGCTGCCTGGTTGGAGGCACAGGGCCTGCACCGGGGTTCAAGATCCCTCTTGAAAACTCGATCTTGAGAGTATCCCCGCTGCAGGGGCACCTGACGCGCCTCGGCTACAACGCCGCGGCCATCCATGGAGACATGGACTTCGCCCCAGTTGGGAGGTTCAGGGATGTTTGGGGTTTTCAGGGTCTCGACGTTGTTGGCGTTGGGGGGTGTGCTGGCTTTGTTGCTCGGCCCCGGGCTTTCAAGGCAACTTCCTAGGCTCAGCTTCCAAACCCCCATCTCTCTGAAGCTCCCAGTGCTCCGTCGGAGGAGCAGAGAGAGCGCGAGCAGTCTCTGTCAACGTTCAAGAGGCGGAGCATGGCGGAGCTTTTCGGGGGCAAGGGTATGCAAGCGCATGCAAGGGCGCATGTTCACGGGGGAAAAAAGAGCCCCACTCGGTGCTTGATGGCGCGCACTCTCCTCGGCCCCTGCCCTCGCCCTCGCAGTGGGAAGAGCACCTTCCTGGTGGCCACCGATGTGGCGGCACGCGGTCTCGACATTCCTAAGGCGGGGGCCCCAAAGCCCAAAGCCCGGCCAAAACGAGAGCCCGAAGAACCTTCAAAGCTCGAAGCCTGAGTTCTGAGAGAGTTGCAGCCACACCATCGCTCTGCACGGATCATGCCTTAGTGCCCTTAGAGCCCTCAGTTCCCTTTGGCGCCCTCGACCTAAACTTACCCTCAGCACGCCAGGTTTCACACGTCATCAACTACGACTTGCCGCAAAACATCGACTCCTATGTCCACCGGATCGGTGGGCGCCTCGGATCAGCTTGCCGTCCCTCGGAGTCCCTACCTCTGCTCTTGCAAGATGGCAGTTTGCATATGTTTGCATATTGAACTCGCCCCTTTCGCCCCTTTTTGAGGCCGGACCGGGCGCATTGGGAACCACGGCTGGGCCACCAGTTTCTACGCCGGGACCAAAAGGGGGGGGGGAGGCGAAGGGGGCCCTTCTCTGGGGCTGGATGGTCTTCCATACCATTTCAGAGCCTTGCATATCTGTGGAGATCCTGAAGGCCTGAAGGCCCAGGGGCATCCTGCTAAGAATTGCGGACAGTTGCGGAAGCCGGGCTGCGCTTTAAGCCACATCCATGCTGGTAGCGGCCTGCGCCCTCAGCCCCGAAGGGTTTTGCCCGGACTCGCGAGACCCAGAAAGGCTGATCAGAATCCGGGTGTCTCAGATTTCCTGGATCTTCGTGGTTTGCAGCTTCTGAGTTGACTAGGCGTGAGTAGAAACCCATCATCTCCCGGTCATGTCGGACCTTGTGCTGGGTCGCTTTGTGGCACCGTTAAGGTCCCAGCACATGACGGCACGCATTCCAACGCCAACGTCGCCAAAGGCCGGCAGTTGGGGTCTGGGGCCTCTATCGAAAGCAAAAAACCCTGCTTCGTGGGTCTTCCCGGTTTCTTGAGCCAGAAGTTTCCAGTCTCTGCATCACCATCTCCCTGACTCCTATAAGCCCAAACGCGCGACCCCCAAATCCTGAACCTTGAAGATTTCACAGGGTGTTACTGTGCAGGCTTGCGGTCATGGTTTGAAGATGGCTTGGGGGTCTGGCGACTGCTTGACGAAGGCTTTCTTCTTATACTATTGTCATGATGGTCTTCGGTTTGTGGCTTAGGACGTGTCCAACCGAAGGGTTTGTTGTCCCGAATCCAAGACAGTTTGAAAGTAGTTGTGAGCTCGGATTTGTACAAACAGCAACCCAACCCTGAGCCTGACCTCGCCAGAACTGGTGACAGTTTTGGAGGGCGCAGGACAGTCTGTGCCCGAGGCACGGCGCTCTCAGGGTTTCTTGATAGGCGGGAGGTCGTGGAACTAGGTTTTTGGGGTGATTTCTTTCCCCGCGGTTCTGTTAGGATCTGCGGGTTGAAGCAGTTCAGGGACAGCGGGCGACATGTCCCAAGAGGAAAGGCCCTTTTTTGAATGACAGAATCCATTGAATCATTTGAATCCACTGGGGCTGTGAATCAGTCAGGGGCTATTCTCCTGTTTCCCACCTGCGCAGCTTAATGGCTTAACGCCGCCCTGAACCTCCAACCCCAGCACCTGAGTTTCAAGGCCTCCAACATCAATCCAAAATCCTACCTACGCCTCCCTCTGAACCTCTTGGAACACCCGGGGCCAGGAGTTGAAGCAGGAGGCCTACCGACAGGCTTGGAAGCTGGGCAGTGGCGGGCAGGGGAGGGTTCGGAGAGGGTCGGCGGGTTAAGGGGCAAGGGTGGGACAGAGGTTTGTTCTGTTTCGGGCTTGGGGGATCTTCAGGGGTTGCGTTCAAGTCCGGGTTCAGGTGTCTAAATTGATGCAGTTGTGTGATAGGGGTGGAATTAGGCGGACTTGGATATTTGCAGTACTTGTTTTTCGCAGATACGTGGTTCTCTGGCTCTCTGGCATTCTGCACGTATCCTCGCATCATGACGTGATGAGCCTTCGGCCGAGCTTTTGTGACACGGCTGACTGCTCAGGGCTACCAGAAGAACCAGAGGGGCGGCAAGGGTGATCGTCGCCCCGGCCAAGTTTCGGGAGAAGCTGCTCCGAGCAATGTTGTCTTGTTGGTTCCTTCGGACTCGAGTGACTAGTGGCATCTTTCCAGGCCCACGGCACACGATTCTTGGGTGGGGATACCTGGGAGCCAGCCTGTCTGTGCCTCGCATTTTACAGCCCAAGACGCAACTGACCCCCCCACCCCTCTCCACCCCCCCAAACTCCCCGAAATCCCCTGGAGCATTCGAAGTTGATGCCAGGCTGGGGCGGCCGTGACTCGCGAGGCCCCTGCTCGAGGTTGAGAGGTTTGTAGGCCACCAAACACTCCTTACCCAGTGCTGTGGTTTCTAGGCCTGAGGGTGTGGTGCTGAGTGTTGACTGGGAGGAGCCCGGTTTGAAGCGTTGCAGGCTTTTGGATGAAGATGGGCATAATACAAGGGAGATACGGCCTACAGAGCTTGCGGAGGTTTGCAGTTTGGGGGGGCATGTGGGGGCATATGGGGCATATTTCGCACCTCGCGGAGGTGGCAACACGATCCGCTCCCAGGGTGGCTGGCCGGGGCTCCCAATCCTCACAAGGAGGGCCTCTTCGGGCTGAAGAAGTGCTGTTTAAGCCGAAGAGTGTCAAGCATCAGCGGTCGCCTTGCTGGACCCGACAACTCGAGAGCCGCACGCTTCCCAGAGCGCCAGAGCGCAGCCTGCCAGGTGCGACTGGTTCGGGTAGGTCCTGGGTTCTGGGTCTCCGAAATCTGGGTTGTAAGCAGAGCACCTGAGCTCAGGTCCAACGGCAAAGGTGGCGGCAAGGGTGGCGGCAAGGCGAAAGGTGGCAGCCGGCAAGGTGAGGGAACGTGAGCAGTTTCAAAGGCTCTTGGTCTGACATGTGCAACCCAGTAACAAGCGATTCCCAGACACCTTAGAAGCAGCCTCGACAACTCCGCAGGCTATGGTGCTGATGCCTCCAGCTGGCGGCGGGAGGGGCAGGCCAGAGCCGTTCTTGAGCTCGTCCTTCATCTCCTGAGGAACCTTTTAGTATTCTGGTGTCAACATTGGGCATCAGGGTGTCCAGTGTGACCGTGCCTGAGCCACGTAGCAACGATGAAAGTCCGTCGCCTATCTCAAGGGAGGTTCTCCAGGCCAGGACACGACGCATGTGAAATCGGAAGTCGAAGCGATTGCTGCACACAGGCCACCAATGGCAATGCGCCGCTTGGTCCGCAGAGTTCCAAGGGGTCTCCAAGGTTCCAAGGGCTCCCTTTGCGGGACTCTTGACCCGATGCAAATCCTCCACTGAGATTTCCAAAGTGGTCCCCCCCCCCCCCCAAGCTTGAATCGCTCGAATGCGAAGCCCGAAGGTTTTCAATTGAGGGCTTCTTGTAGCTTTGTAGAATGGGTCTAGGGTTTAGGGCCTTTAGGGTTTATGGCTTGACAACGCGCCATACATCCCCCAAAACCTCCACACAACCTCGCCCCACCTTCTTCTTGGACGTGCCCAGGCGAGACTACGGGAGCTACGGGGGCGGAGGGGGAGGCCGCTAAATGAGTCAAAAGAGAGTATCTGCGCAGCCCAAGGACCAGCAAGTTGTCCGGACTCCCTAGCCCCCTCTGAACCTACCTGCAAGAACCTTCTGAAACCTGTCGACACCCAAACCCTAAACCCTAAACCCTAAACCCTAAACCCTAAACCCTAAACCCTAAACCCTAAACCCTAAACCCTAAACCCTAAACCCTAAACCCTAAACCCTACACCCTACACCCTACACCCTAAACCCTAAACCCTAAACCCTACACCCTAAACCCTAAACCCTAAACCCTAAACCCCTGAACCTACCTGCAAGAACCTTCTGAAACCTGTCGACACCCGCTAAACCCCCGCCCTAAGCTATTGCCTCTGGCCAGGCAGGAGCAAGGGCGGCCACAAGCCGGCAGCCCGGATCGCCTCACGTTTGGCAGGTTTTCGGAACTCAGGTTTGGGGGGCTCATTGCTTGGGGGGCAACTTCCTCTCCCTGCCTGGTGAGCGTTGCGCACCAAAGTTGACCCCCTTTGTTCAAGCTTTGCTTTGCGCAGGGTGGTATTTAGGCCTCAAGTCTATTCCGGTCCAAACAGTGCCAAACCTTAGGGTGCACTTTCGGGCATTTCAGGGGCCCTTTCAGTTCTGAAATGCTCTTCAGGCCGCGTGAGTGGTAGCTCTGTCAGCAGAGCACTGACCTCGGTCTCAGCATGCTGGGATTCATCGCACCTCCACCGAGGCGGCCCTGTAGACCCACTGACCCCTTAAGTCCCAGAGCCGATCCCCAGACCCTACCCGGCAGAGCAACCCTCTATATGCCCTTAAGAACCGGGGACGTGCGCAGTACCGCAGGTCGATGTCCCGTTCTTTGCCTCAAAATCCTGGCTAAGTCCCTCAAAGAAGCCTGAAACCCAACGCGCACCTTCAGCTCCGAGCGCGGCGCCGGCGGCAGAAGTGCCGACATCCAATAGTTTTCCTCGGCTCCTGCTGCGGGGCCACGGATGCGCAGAAGGTTATAGGGCATAGGGTATGGGCTATGGGTATAGGGCATAGGGTCTAGGTAAGGGGAAGTGGCTTTGGGGTTTACGATGGTTTGCAAAGATTTCGGCCCCGAAGGTTTTCATGTGAGCGTGTGGCCCCAAAGACTTTCTCGCTGGTGGGCGGGCAGCGCGCCTGTGCAAGTGTGACATATAGGCAAGATGAACAAATCCGACAAAGCAAACTGGATGATGTTGGCCTTGCTTTTCGGTTGAAACGTGCGACGACTGCATGGGCTGGACCAGCGCCACTTCCTGTATGCCAACTGCTCGAAGTCCGAACGGCAACAATCAGGTTGCACTCGGCGCGCAGCTTCAAGGACTAAAATTCGCAACCGTGAGTCCCTCCCACTCCGTCAACCAAATGATAAGGTGCGACCCCCCTAAAGATGTGGCCCTAAGACTTTTGTTGGGCCTGGGAGTCTTTGGGGTGCTAGGGTCCATGTTTTTCGGGGGGGGGGGGGGGTTGCAGTTGGGTTGCAGTGATATGCACTGATGCCCCTTGATGTTGTATGGCCGCTGTTCAGTGCCAAGCCATCGCAGAGAATCCTCGACTGGATCGGCCTTTGCAAGATCTTCGCATGTGGCCACAAAAAGCCACGACATCCAGGATATTGAAACTCTCAGCCTCTCAGCTTAGCCCTGTTTCTCCGTCTCTCTCTTTGCCTTCCAGCCATGGGCGCTTGCTTGGGCCTGGCGCGAGAAGGGGAAGGTGGCCGGGTGGCCCTAGGGTGACTTAGTTTTGCTGTAGGGCGCCTCGTGTTGTTAACAGGACGCTGGGACACAAGTGCTCCCAAGGCTCACCAGGACCCTTGGAGAAAACCGGATCTTGGGATGAACCCGGACTTCGCACAGCTCGGCGCCCTCCCCAATCCTGAATGGACAGGCCGCTGCTGCGACTGCGGCTCCTGGCGGAGGTCGGAGGGGGACCGGCGGGATGGGGGACTGGGAGGATGGGGGGGGGGAGGTTGCAGACTGCCTCCATCTTGCACCGGTGTTGTTTCTGAGTCGGCCGTGCGAGACGTGAACAAGCTTGCATGAACCTATTTTGCTCAAGCTGACTGAGCTCGGGGTGCTATGCCCCGCAGCCCTGAAACCCGAAAACGCGCTGAGCCTCGACTCCGAGCCTCACCGCCGCCCCGTTGCTGTTTTTAGCCTTCACTCCGCGAATTATGGCGTTGCCCATCGACGTGACGGCCGTGACTCTCGCAGGCCGAGAACTGGCGAAAGTCGCCGTGTCGCGCGACACCTCGTTAAGGGAGCTGGTAGAAGAATTGGGGAAGGTCGCCGAGATCGCATGGGATGCTTGGCAGCTGACATGGGATGGCAAGAGGTTGGGCGACTGGAGTATGCAGCCTTTTATCAGCACAGAACTGCCAGAGGTGGTTCTGCAAGTGGTTCTCAAAGCGCAGCCTGTGGAGCTCGATTCAGAACAGGCCGCCGAGTTGCTGAAGGTGCTGAAGGAGCCTTACGACGGGCTCGATGGCTTGAGCTTCGCCGTGGGAGCCTTGGAGCGCCTCTCTTTGGGAGCTGGAGATGATGATGCGTGTTTTGCTGACGTTCGGGGTGATGCCAGCAGTGGTGTCATGTCCGAACCTCAGCTGAGCGCGCTCACACGAGCTGTTTTGGACCAGAGGTTTCGCTGCACAGTCCTGTGCCTTCGAGGCATCCTCAGTCCTATGCCGATGATGTCGAAAATTGTCCAGCGACAGGACTCAGATGACCTGGTGTCTTTGCTGTCGCACATGCCGCAGCTCACCTCCTTGGATCTTTCAGGCAACCGTTTGGGCTACACGACCACGTGCATCGGTGGATTGGCCACGGCGATGCCGAAGCTCCAGAGGCTCACTCACCTCAACCTCTCCTGCAACGGCTTCTTCTCATTCCATGGAGGCTCTGGTGCAATCCCACCTCATGTTCTTGACTTGCTCCTGTCTTTGCAGTCCTTGACCGCCTTGGAGGTCCTGGACTTCCATCTGAATGACAAGGCTTTCGTCCGCAGCTTCGGCAAGGAGAAGGAGGAGTTGGCAAGCTTCTACTTGCCAAAGCTCCTCTCCACTCTGAGCCTGAAGCGGCTGAAGCGTCTCATCTTCTCTGCCAACGACGTGGCGGTGCAGTCGGTGGAAGCCTTGGAGGCAGCGAGGCCATCTGGCTGCGACCTCGACTTCGGTTTGGAGGACCACGTGGCCAGGGCCCTCTCTGCGCTTCGAGAGCCGGGAGCGTGGAAAACTTGGGGAGGTTGGGGAACTTCCGTTCCCACTTTCCGACCTCCGCTCCTGGACTTGCCGGCTCCTTCACGAAACTGGCCGGTGCGCGCGGCCTACTACCTGCACTTGGGCCGGGGCCTGGCTGAGCTGGAGCCAGAGCTACGGCAGGTGGTGAAGGTCGACCTCTCTGGTCAGAAGCTCGGCCGGTCGTGGCCCGGGCTCTGTGATCTCGTCCTGCCGCAGTTCCCGGCTCTTCGCGAGTTGGACCTCTCCAACACCGACATACTCCTCGATTTCATCAAAGGTCTGCACCAACCGGCTTTTGCATCCCTGACGACGATGAACCTGGCAGGGTGCGGCTTGTGTCACTACTTGAGCGGGGAAAGTCCCGAGATTGCCACGGCATTCTCGTTCTGGGCCGAGTCGCTGACCGATCTGGACCTTTCTGAGAACTTCATCAGTGAGTACGGGGATCTTTGGCTCGGCGCTTTGGAACTCAACCTGCCGCCCCTGCTGCAGGGCCTCAAGTGCTTGAAGAGGTTCGCTTTGTGTGGAAATGACATTGGCGGCGTGCAGGAGAGTTCCATGCAGTTGGTCACGCGGGCCTTCGAGACCGTGACGCCGGAACTGTCCTTGGAACAGCTGGACCTGCGGAAGAATCACCTGGAAGGAGCGCATTGGGGCGAACTTCTGGACAAACTGAGAGCGGCAGTGCCATGGGTCCTTGTGACCAATGATGATGCGTATTGAAGCAGTGTCAGAAGGCCGCGCTCCTAAGATCAGAAAGACACACATGTTGTTTTGTGTACCAGACTGTGCGCACGCGTGAATGTTGAATTAAAGGTCGAGGTAATGATATCGTTCAACTTATTCACAGAACATGTCCATGACATGCGAGCGTCCGCGAAAGATCCGTGAACAGGCGCGCGGAAGGAATTTATGATTTGGCGAAAGTTTTGACGAAAGCCAACATCCCTGCACTCTTGAATCCTGAACCCAGTCCTAAGGTCACCTCCCCCAAGCCACAACAACACTTGTAGACACCTGTAGACGGAATCTTACCCCCCAACCCCAGGACTTTTTAGGTATGAGCGGCTCAGAGGAGCCCGCGAATCCCATCAACATTCCCTTGTAAAAAGCATCCCTGTATCTGAAGGGCTCTAAGGAAGGCATATGAGGGACACAGGAGGGCGTAGAAGCAGAGCGTTGATGCTGGGAGGCAGACAGACGCTGCCCCGACGGAGGATGGGACGTCAGAGGCCCCGTCCTCGCTTCGGTTCTCTGCTTGGAGGGGGTGTAAAGATGTGTGAAAAGGGCTCCCACCCAAAAAACGAGAAAGAGGCCCAGAATGGGGTGTTTGGGGGTTTACGAAGGGGCTGGCCCTGAATCCATCGGCGTTCTAAGCTGCCAAAAACCTAACCTCGGAGTTTGTGTTTTTCCCGTTTCTGCGAGGCCTGGGTTCGGGTGCCCACTGCGCAGCCCAAGACAGGCTCGGCTCGGATTTTGGGGGTCTCGAAGCCGGGCGGGGGGGGGGGGAAGTCGAGAAGCCCAAAATGCCCGGAGGCTGACGCAGTGAGGCCGTCCGAGTGCTCCGAGGCGCATACTATAGTTACCTCTTCAGGACCTCTTCTTGAGGTCAAATACGTCCCGCAGGGTGCCCGTGGTTCCTTTCCCCCCAAAGCCCGAATCGTGTTCGATAATCCGAGCCAGCCGTAGTCACGTGAAGGCGTCTTGAAGTTTTTGGGGGGGAGGGGGGCAGATAATGCATAGTGCTTAGGATTCAGGGATATTCAGGGGCTTGATTGGGCTGTGGTCTCGGGCGTTCTGGGTGTAGTCTTGGGGCTTGCGGTGGGCTTCGTAGATGAGGGTCTAGGACCTTCGCTGATTTTGCTGCCCCGCGCAAGGAGCGTCTCAGCAGCGCAATCGGGCTCGATGGCAGGGAAGGGTGCGAGCTGCGACCTCCTTGCCGGAAACCTGGTGTTCAGGGTTCTCCAATTCACGTTGTTTTCGGATGTTTCACAGTGGCCTGCGAGGGTGTAAGTCCTTGCACGCCTTTGGATCACTATGATGGCTAGACTTGCTTCATGATGACCCAGCTGTTTTTGCTACCCTGCAGCGCCCCTTGTCTTCGCTGTTTCTGCGAGGTGGAAGGCTGCCACCATCCGCCATCGAAGCGCCTGTGGGAGCTGATCTAACAGACGCCTGGCCTCGGCGAAGAGCGTCGAACACTGCGCAAGCTGCAAGCTTCGGAGGTTTCACACAGCCAGCGCGAAGCTGTAAAGATTTCGCAGAGATCATACAGGGTCTCTGGCAATGTCAAGCCAGAGGCGCCGGGTCTTGCGTGCGAAGCCTCTGAAGGGCCCGCTCACATGAACGTATGTCCGCGAATTTCTTATCTCGTTGAATAAAAGGTTGCCTGGTAGCCCCGCATACGGGTCTTGTGCCCCAAGCACAGCTTCAAATTGCACAAAACCGCATCTGGTGAAACTGTGGTTGTACGGCCCAACATCGCCGCGGAACTCCCACCTGCATCCGGCGGCCATGGCCAGGCAGCCCCAACCCAAAACCATAATGCCACGTTGCACATCCTGCAGCCCCCCCTACAATGCCCCCAGACCCCAGCCCCGATTCGTCCGCTGTCCTCTCGGCTCGCAGTGCCTTCCCTGCCTACCGCCTCCCCTACCGACACCCGACGATCAACAGGCAGGAAACAAAATGGCGCCTGGCTCAGAAGGCAAGAACACGCCGCAGGCCGATCTCAAACCTACAAGTTTTTGATGCTTTGGCGGTTCCGCCGGCGAGACATCACTGACATCACTGCTCAAACTTAGTGGCATAGGAGGGATGCAGAGCTGGTGGCTCAAGTCGGCGCTTTGGGGAAGTGCACCTTCACACCCCTGAATCCCTGAATCCCTTGGCCCCTACATGCTAGACATGGCTAATCTGCTAAGCCCTAACGCCTTAAATTTTGCCCTAGATACCCGACATCAAAAACATCCAAAAGAACCCTTGAACAAAAAGCTCGACGAGCCCCCGCAGCTCCAAACTTCCTACATCCCAGAGCCATTTAGCATCATTTAGCATCATTTAGCTCTGTCCTGTTCGGTGTGCGAATCCGAGGCCCGAGGCCCGAGGCTTTTCTGGGTGGAGGGGTTCGTCCGAGGCACCGGCCACTCAGAGAGCTGCTGCCCTCGCCGGCTGCGCCGCGGCCAGGGGACGGGGGAAGAGGGGGGCCGCCCAAAAAAGCCCAACGACATCCCTCCCTGTGAGGAACTGCCCTTAAAGTCCTTAACCAGGCGGTATTGGGCCGTATTGGGCTCTGTGTGGGGAAATGCAAACATGGCTTTGGGGGTTCTTAGGGGCTTCTCACAGGTGCTACGGGTTTAAGAGCGGAGGGCTGGGGCCGGAAACTTGGAACCTGAAGCCCCAAGACCCCGAAGTACTCCTTTGAGGGCCTTGGGCTTCCCTTTCTTGGGCCAGGTTCTGAGGGGTGCCTCAAGATGGGGCCTGAAAAACATCGCCCCAGCATTGAGCATAATAAAGCATGAGGAGGTTCGTAGGAAGTAAATATCCTCCTTAAACGACTCTTGAAGGCCTTGAAGGTAAGTACGCAATGTATGACCAGGGACACACAATAGAACTGCAGAAGTGGCGCGCTCGACTGCTCAGGCCCAGGCCCTAAGCTAGGGCCCTAAGCCCATTCCACCCCAAGAGAGAATCCTTCAAGAAGCCGTGGAGTTCCAAAATGCAAAACTTCGAGAACCCCGCAGCAGGTCGCAGGAACCGCCTTCGTCGCACTTCCGGCAACGGTCTCAGAGCTTCGAAGCTCTGCTCGGGAGTTTACCGTAGGAGGTCAAAGGAGGTTCAAGTAGTTGAAGAAGTCAGGTTTGAGGCTTTTGGGCCAGGGGATCCTTTTTGGGATTGAGGGGCCTTTAGCAAAATATAGGCTGAGTTGATGGACGTCCTCATAAGCCCTACGCCCAAGCTTTGACCTCGGTCATGTGGCTCCCTGTCAAGGAATTCACGCGACAGTATTTAGCCACGTCCCCCCCGGAAATCAACTTTACCCTCCCTAATACTAAACAAGGGCCAGGCCCAAATTGCTTCAATGTTAGGGGTGGTTGGTTTAGAGGGGAATGAGGGGTAGGATTGTAGCAATGAAGAGCGTCCATGTCGAACTAGGCTTTTCGCATGTCTAATGGTGTACTGGCTAAGTGCACGCGATTCGAAGCTGCTTCGACACAGTCCAAGTGCAGAGAGCACATGTAACAGGCGTGTATCTCTGTGTACAAAAATGAATACATAAATATGTAGTTATAAATATACAGGTATCGAAATAGATAAATATGCGGTTATATACAAACATAAAAGTATGGAAATACAAAAATATATAAATCTATGGATACATAAATACAAAAATGCGCAAGTACGTAAGCAAAAACACACATATACATATATATATATATATATATATATGTATATATATACATAGTGTACATGGGCGACCCTGGGCTTGTGCCTCTGCGTGTTTTTCAATCACAACCAACATCGGAACTTTTCGAGACACCGCCAGGCGTTCGAGGAGTCCTGGCTTTTTGTTTTTTGGGAGAGAGGCCATACAGTACTATAAAGCAGACACGTAAGCTGAAACATTCGCGCCCCGATAAGCAAAAACGAGGGAATGCACATGTCGTAAGACATTCGATGACAGATACTCACGTAAACATGAACCTTAAAACGGTGTATCGACTCTTGCTATACTTGGTTGTGGGCATGTTCCTTGATACGAGAGACAGAATAGCAGAAACAAGCGCACGACTGCAGTCATTGACATACGGATATATGCATATTTATATATATATGTAAACACACATACATACAGATACATATACGATTTATGTGATATGTGTGCAGTCTTGTGTACATCTTCTTTCGAGCATCTGTGCACAGCGTCTAGCAAAAAACCGCTCGAGGCCACTCAGGGTGAACAAGCAGCCGCCCCGGCCCTTCGGGGGCAGAGCGCCGCGGCATGCCTGGGCGCGCTTGACTTCAGGATGTTTATCTCTGGGCTTGTGTTGCTGCGACGTGGGGTTTTCAGCAGGTTTTGACTAGCAAAATCCTGGACTTCGGAGGGCAGAGTCTGGGACTTGGGGAAGTTCAAAGTTTCGGGTTTGGTGGCGTTGCGGACTCTGTGGTGGCCAAATTCCTCCAAAGGCAGCAGTCGCAGCAAGGTTGGTGTTAACTTCTTTGTCGGATTGAAGACGAAGAGGTGATGACTTCTGACGGGCCTCATGGCTAAGCGTGAATCGAAAATGTAGAGGCTGGGCAAGTACAACATCACCCCACTGCTGAACTGGACACTTGGAAATCGCAAAGCATTTTTGGCTTTGAGCATACTTTTGACCAAGAGCTTCTCCTCTTGCTCTCTTGCGAATGGCGCGCTCGACGAGGAAGGTCACCGCTTGCGTTGTTGTGGCTGGGTTGCTGGCATGCGGCCTCTCCAGCTCCGGATTCGTGCCAGGGCCGCTTCGCAGGACGGCTGCCCCAGTGGCAGCTGCTTCTGCAGCCGGCATGATGATGGCTCCGGCTGCTTTCGCCGACGAAATTGGCGATGCAGCAAAGAAGCTTGGTGATGCTTCCTATGACTTCGCGAAGGAAGTGGACTGGAACAACGGCATCTTCTTGCAAGCTCCGGGCAAGTTCCAGCCTCTCCAAGCTTTGAAGGCCATTGATAAGATGATTGATATGGG